CCTTCTTCACCATCAGCACTATGGTATGTTAGAGTTATGCAAGGGCACGGACCATCTTGCACGTATTTGCTCACCTTCCAGACAACGTAGCTAAATCCTTTAGGGCCACCTTTTATTTGAGGTTTAATCATATCAGAGACACAGAAAGGAACAACAACAAGCACAGTGAAATCCCATAAGTGGGGTCTGGGGAGGGTGAGGTGTATGCAGACCTTACCCCTTACCTAAGGAAGATGGAGAGGCTATTTCCGAAAGACCCTCAGCTCAAAAGAAGTGAAAATGAAGCAGTAAACAGACAATAGCAGAGAGAGAGAGGAAATTTGGGTAAATGAAGGTGAAAGTGGAAGAGAAAGCAAAGGAAATGTAATGAGCATACCATGAATCGTGTTATTTCCTTCATTTGGGATAAGCTTATAAAGGGTTCCATTCAAAGTAAATTGAGCACCACCAATCCGGTTAACAACCCTTCCAAGTAGAGCTCCAAAATAACGTGTATCGTTCTGCACAAAATCACAAAGAATTTCGAAACTTGACATATTATTCTAACGAATTGTAATTGTGGGAAAATCTTGAGCATCTAAACCAGAAACTGTAAAAGAATAGTTTGGAGCAGCATAAGACCTTTATAAACCATTTTTAATGCCCTTATAAACTTAAAATGGCACATGACTAAGTTCAAGATCCTCTCTCATGTAGACTTTAACTAATAGTAGAACTGAAAGCGTGAAAACTTGTTAAGACGAGTTATCAAAAGCTGGTTTTTGGTATCATCTGAAATAATTGAACTTTCATCTTTTTCTTAATGAGAAAATGAACCAAAAGCTATTACTAACAAACTCGAATAGATGCATCTAAACACAATACAGAAAGTGAACTAACCTTGTATTCCTCGATGGCGTCATATCCACTAACAACGTCACCTATTTTTCCTGGAAAAGGATCAAAGACAAAATAAGACTGATGTGTTCAAGGAGTAGCAGAAAACAACACACTTTATACACATACCATGCTTATCCGGAAGAAGAACAGAGATTATTCTGGCACCATAATTAGTGATCTTAACAGAGAAATCTCCTTTCTTTATCTCATATATCCCTATCTTTCGCCCTCTAACACTGGTGGCAGCCCACAGATGAAGAATGAAGAAACAGATTAACACACTAACCTTGGAAGACATAGTCAACTCCTGTGTTTTTGAGCCTTCAGAGAGTGCTTCTTAATGACAGATTCTTAAGCTTTGAATTTATGTACTCTTCCAACTCATCTGGCGTTATTGTGGGATTAGATTATTTTCTGCATGTGAACAAAAGAGAACTTGTCTCCCAAATAATCTGCGTGGAGTGGAAATGGGATAACCTTATTTAAAAAAATCGACAATGGTGACTGGTGAGTGTGTCGTATTGAAATTGAAAGAATCAGGTTAGCCTTTGCCATTATTTTATGTATTGTTATATGAAGCAGTAGCTGTTTGTGTTGAACTGTATATAAAATAATGGAAACCACATTTGCATGATTCATATTCTGGAAATAATAACAACTTGAGATTTTATTTGGCTTAAAAGATATATTATTAAACTAGTCAATCACATGATTAGCCATTTCTTGAATTCAACTTTTTAAATGCCCCAAAATTTAGCTTCCAGTTTTGGCCCTTCAATAACATGATCAGATGATGTACCTTTAAGAACCTAATTCGTTTCAGGATGTAGTACTAAATAGTTTTTTGTTTCTAATTCTGCTACTATCATTCTTCTTTGATATGTTTTGGATTGATTTTAGTGATCACATTCATTAATTGTTGTTGTGCATTGTATAATGTTTAGAAGGGTTGAACAAAATTGATGCCAACAGCATATCTATGGTAAAACATTCTACCTATGAAACTCAAACCATTATTATGGAGCAATGTGATCAGAATAGTAAATGGAGACTATTAACTAAAAACAAGTTTTGATTTGTTCCAGAAAGGGTAAAAAACAACAAAACTATCCACACCAAAACCAGTGAATCCGCGTCTAAACACTCACTAAACATGTCTAAAACTGTTCTTTGAAAACTCCATCAAAACAGAACTGTATTGAGTCTAATGTCAGGTGTTTTATTTGTTATAAATAGCATATAACCTTGACAGAAATATCAATCTATGCAGAAGATACAAAGGACACAAGCGATGGTGGAAAAAATTAATAAGAATTCCAGTATTTCATGATTGAGAACGTGTACAGCATTTTGTGAGTGTAGGCCTTTCCTGGACTCACAATTGTTGAAGGGAAATTAGGGTGATTCACAGCATCGGGGAACCCTTGAGTCTCGAAGCACAATGCTGCATGAGGCTGATACACATATCCACCTTTCCCCTTCTGAATAAGGGAGTTTGCAGTGTAGAATTGCACACCAGGTGCAGACGCTTGTAAATCCATCACTCTTCCTGACTTTTTGTCATGAACTATTGCCACGGGCTTCATTTCTGCACTGCTGTCGAGTGCATAGTTGATGTCATATCCACTTTGCAGTTCGTTGATCTGGCTCCCTACTTCACGGGGTTTAAGGAAATCATAGGGTGTGTTCTTGACAGGAGAAATTTCACCTGTAGGAATGAGATGTTCGTCTACTGGAGTGATGTGTGATGCAAAGATTTGAACAACGTTGGACAAGATATCTCCAATGTTGTGTCCACCAATGTTCCAATAAGTGTGTTGAGCCAAGTTAACTGGAGTGGCCATGTTTAGTGCTTTTGCCTTCATTACCACACTAAGCTTGTAAGGATCTTCCAATGCATAGGTAACAGAGGCAAGAACATCACCAGGAAATCCTACGAACGAAAATAATGGATTTTACTCAACTCATACTGTATCTTCCAAAGGAAATTAATAACTGTAATTATCTTGTGGAATAACTAAACAGATTCACCTTCTTCACCATCAGCACTGTGGTAGGTTAAAGTAATGTGGGGATAGGGACCATCTTGCTCATACTTGCTAACATTCCAAACAACACGGCTGAATCCTTCAGGGCCACCTATATTTTTGAAGTTCTTACATATAAGAGGAAGGAAAATTTGAAGAAAAACCAAAACCAAAAGAAAATGTAGTGAGGATACCGTGCAGTGTGTTGGCGCCATCATTGGCAATAAGCTTATAAAGCGTTCCATTCAATGTAAATTGAGCACCACCAATCCGGTTAGCAACCCTTCCAAGTAGGGCTCCGAAAGAAGTTGTATCATTCTGCAGAAAAATACTTTCATATTTGTTTATGCGTATGACGATTTCAATATACAAACAACTCATTCCATAGAAAGATTGAAGCTAAAATGGGGCATTACTATGTTCAAAACTCTTACTCACATGGACTTTAATAGACTTAAAGGCACAGAAACGTGTTAAAACAACTTGTCAAAAGTTGATCTGATACCAAAGTGAAATAATCTAACAATCAAATCTAATTCCTTAATGCAATATAGGTCGTAGCTGAAAAACCTTCATAAATCACTTTCTTTTACGTATCCAAAATGAAAGATTATTTAATTAAATCGGGTATAAGGTTGGTGTTTTCCGTTTCCTTCGATGTACTTGACATCAGTCCATAATTTGGAAAGATTTAAGTTAGACATTATAGGCTAGAGATACGGTCTTTGTAGGAAAGAGCTACAATTAGACAGTGACAAAGAAAAAAGCTGTTAATATGATTTCACAATTGGCTATGAATTTTCACATGGCACAATTTCTATGGACTCACAGAGAACCACAGTGACATGCAATAAAGTAGAAGGCAAATCAAAGAAAGGAAAGTCAGGAGGTATATCACTCTATTTTTCTGATTGTCTTTTCCTTAATGAGAAAATGAACAAAGTGAACTAACCTCGTATTCTTCGACGGTGTCATATCCCAGAGCAACATCATCTATTCTTCCTGGAAAGGATCAAGAGACAGTAAGACTGATTTCTTAAAAGGAACAGCAGAAAACAGACCAAATATACACATCAAGAAGGTTGAAACAAGATCACATTATCAAATAGGAACATGTTTTCCAAAAGGTAAGATTGATTCAGCCAGCAGATGTGGCCTATACGCACAATTGGTCAACATTTTTGACACAGAACATAAATATATATATATATATATATATATATATATATATATATATATAGTTTAGTGCTAAGAACCACACAAATTGAACCCAATAAATTTAAATTCTGGATCCACCTCTAGATTGATAATGTAGAAGACAGACATACCGTGCTTATCAGGAAGAAGAACAGAGATGATTCTGGCACCATAATTAGTGATCTTAACAGAGAAATCTCCTTTCTTAATCTCATATATCCCTATCTTGCGCCCTCTAACACTGGCAGCAGCCGACAGATGAAGAATGAAAAAACAGATCAACAACGGACTAATCTTTGAAGACATAGTCAACTCCTGTGGTTTTGACACAGCGAGCCTCTTCAGTCTTGACATATGCAGCACTCCAATTTTGGGATGAGTTTAACTTATTATCTGCATGTGTTCAAGACAGAAGTTGTCTGCCAAATAATGTGCTTGAAAATGGGATAACTCCATTGAAAATCAACAATGATGAGTGGACAGACAGAGTCAAGGTAGCGGTCCCCATTACTTTATGCATATTTAACAGTACCTACGTTTCTGTTGACATGTAATTACAAAAAATAGCACCCACGTTGCCGTCATTCTCATTCTTTTTTTCTTTTTTTTTTCTTTCTCTTGAAGATTAGTCAGTTGTACCTTTATGAACCTAATTTATTTTTGAATATAGTAAAAGCTTTCTGTTTCTAACTGTGCTAGCAAAGAAGGACAGTATCAACGCCAAAAGCATATCTTTGGTAAACTCCACTTATGAAAACTCAAGGGAAACAATTAACTTGAGACGATACAGATACAAATTGAGCCGACGGTCTATCGGAAATAGTCTCTCTACCTCTCCACTTATAAAAATTCTGATTTGCTCTAAAAAAAGAAAGAAATTTGTCACTCCAAAAACAGTGAGTCCAGATGCAAACACTTACCAAACATATTTTTAAAACAGTTCTTTGGAAATTTCCGTCCCAGCACAACGGTATTGAGTTTAAATGTCAGGTGTTCTATTTTTCACAAAGCACATATATGATATAACCTTGAGAGATATATAAATTTATGCAAAAGATACAAAAGACACAAAATTAATATAAGCATTCTAGTACTATTTCGTGATTGAGAACGTATACAGCATCTTGTGAATGTAGCTCTTTCCCGGAGTCACAATTGTCGATGGGAAATTTGGATGGTTGACAGCGTCCGGGAATCCTTGAGTCTCCAAACACAAAGCTGCATGAGGCTGATACACATATCCACCTTTCCCCTTCTTAATGAGAGAGTTTGCAGTGTAGAATTGAACACCAGGCGCAGACGCTTGTAAATCCATCACTCTTCCTGACTTCTTATCATAAACTATTGCCACAGGTTTCATATTCTCACTGCTGTCAAGTGCATAGTTGATGTCATATCCATTTTGGAATTTATTGATCTGGCTTCCAACTTTACGGGGCTTCAGGAAATCATAGGGCGTATTCTTGACAGGGGCGAGTGCGCCTGTTGGAATGAGATGTTGATCTACTAGGGTGATCTGTGATGCAAAAATTTGAATAACATTGGACAAGATATTGCCACTGGTGTGTCCGCCAATGTTCCAATAAGTGTGTTGAGCCAAGTTAACTGGAGTGGCCTTGTTTAGTGCTTTTCCCTTCATTACCACACTAAGCTTGTACGGATCTTTCAATGCATAGGTAACAGAGACAAGAAGATCACCAGGAAATCCTACAAACGAAAATAATGTATCTTTAAATGGAAATTAATTACCGTATTGTATTGTGGACTATAACCAAGGAGATATATTCACCTTGTTCACCATCAGCACTGTGGTAAGTTAAAGTAATGTGAGGATGCGGACCATCTTTCTCGTACTTGCTCACCTTCCAAATTACATGACTAAATCCTTTAGGGCCACCTATATTTTTGAAGTTTTTACATATGTAAGAGGAAGGGAACTTGGTTTATATGGAGGTGAAATTGGATCATAGGTAAAATAGAGATCTACTGAGAGTACCATGAATGGTGTTATTGCCATCATTGGCGATAAGCTTATAAAGGGTTCCATTCAAAGTAAATTGAGCACCACCAATCCGATTTGCAACTCTTCCAACTATTGCTCCAAAAGAACTTGTATCATTCTGCACAAAATTATTTTTGTTTACGCATATAAAATGAGTCATTCCATAGAAAGCTTGAAATATTATTCAAATGAAATGAAATTGTAAAAAGATCTTGGGCGTCCAACTGATAAAGCTGTGACATCAGTTCGGAGTAACCCAAGACTTTTATAAACCATAAACCATAGTTAAAAAGGCAAAATACATAAAGAACTCATTAAACTTGTCCGCACAAACAGGTTTGACTAAACGGGTATTCTTTTATCCTTTTTGTTCATATGAAATTAGTGCCTCCCTGTTTGACTAAACCCAGTCATAAGTTGAGCAGTGTAGTACACTCGCTCCACATCATCTTCCACGTCAGAAAATCATTAAAATTTAACAAATTAAATTCCCTTGGCCTAATCTACTTTCTTCCTCACCCTACCCTACCTGTTTCTTCCTCCTCTCCAAAATAATCCACCATTTTTACTCTTCCTCATACCCAATTTGAAGTTGGCTTTTTGTTTTGAGTCTAACTATGTTTCTTGACTAAGAGTCCGTTTGGATTGACTTGTTTTAAGTGCTTTTAAGCCATTTTATAGTGGTTGGATAGCATAAAAAAGTGCTTTTAAGCACTTGTTTTTAAGCTAAAATGACAAAAACAAGCCAAAAGCCAAAAGTTAGAATTCCTAACTTATGGCTTAAAAGCTATTTTGGCTTAAAAGCTCATCCAAACGGGCTCTAAAACGAAACACTATTCCTTCAATGGTAAAACAAAAAAATAACAGAGGAAAGAAGAAATTGCAGTCAAAGAGATTGTAGGAGAAATAAAACACTGAAGAATGTTATTGCTTTCACTGGAACTCTGATTTACAGCAGTATATGCAAAGCATATAAATAAGACTGAACCACTAACGTTCAACTCCTAAAAAGATTCTAACAACTAGCAATGAATCTTATCCAAACTAATAACTAAGCTGATACTATTCCTATAAAATAGGAACTGAATTATTTGACTCAGTAAACATAAGTAAAACAGTAAATAAAACATGTAAGATGCACTAATTTTTAACAAATGGTGGCTGGTTGATCTTCAATTCTTCATCAAAATAAACTCTTATCATCAAGCATTAGAGGGACTTGAATCGGTTGATTCATACTTCGGTGGTGTTAATGGTGAATATAAGAGGATGAAATGAGCTTTCAGAAGTGAAAAATGGTGGAAGAAAATTTGGAAGTGGGTTTGTAAGGTGGTCGAGGAAGTGGGGGTTCCGGAGATGGCCATGGCAGCGGTGGAAGTAGTTGGGTGTTGCTGGATTTTGTTTGGTGCAATTTATGGAGTCTGTAACTGAAATTTGGGTGAAGGATTTGAATGGTTTCGAGTTGGATTAGAGCTTCAATAGTCTATTGCACTATCTGTCAAGAAAAAAAGGACTAGGGGTGAGGAATAAGGAGAAAGAAACTTTTTTTCTTCCTTCGACGACACGTCGTGAGTTCGAGTCTCTCAGGAGCAAGACGAGATGTTATCGGATGGATGGATACCGGGGGTCTATTTGTAAACAGTCTCTTTAATCCAGAGTAGGGGTAAGGTCTGCGTACACAATATCCTCTCCAGACTCCACTGACATTATACTGGGTTGTTGTTGTTGTTGTAAACTTTTTATTTTTTTATTTTCTATTATGTAGGCGCTTTTAATTTGGTTTTTTTGCCACATCAGCTGTTAAGGAGGAAAATAATTCATTTCAGAATGTGTTTAAGGGTAAAAGAACACCCGTTTAGTTTGACTATTCAAACCTGTTTTTTGGACAAGTTTAACGTGGTCTTTATGTATTTTGCCTAATTAAAAACTCTGTTTCGCATGAACTTCAGCACTATAGAGTAAATGCACAAAAACATGTTAAAACGAGCTTGTCAAAAGTTGATTTGATACCAATTAATGTGAAATTATCTAACTATCAAATCTAATATATATGGTTCATATTCGAAAACCTTCACAAATCTCTTTCATTTATGCATCCAAAATGTGCCATTATTTAGTTGTTACACACAAAATGGAACAAATAAGGCAATATGGTTGATTTTAGGTAAGGAGAATCCTAGAAGGGCTCAAATGATGAAAGAGGCATAAAGAATGCACGCGACAGAAGAGCATTGATACCACTTTTGTTAATGATGGTCCACCCCCATTAGCTTTTTGGTATGCACCAGTATTTTTGACGCAGTACATAAATTTATGTGTAAATATCCATTAAATTTCAATATATATTAGAGACATCATAATTTTAAAAAAATATAATAATTCAATTTTAAGAACCTTAAATGCCTGAATCTCCTTGTTAGATGCTTCAAAAAAGTGAGTGGCAAACAGCTTGGATAAGCATATATTTCAGTGTTCACTGTGCAGTAAACTGAAACAACTTGGTGGCAGAGGGGCGTAGTCACCTTGCTTGAACACCGCTTCTTCGAATTTTTTTCGTAATATGTATATATAAATAATAAATAAAATTAAAATATTGGGTATAAATATAAAAATGATACCGCTTGTCATTATAGTAATTTATTTATTTATTCACTTTTGAAAATATTGACATCGCTTACAAAAATTACCGTATACGCTACTGGGCAGAATCTGTACTATATTTGTTGAAGTCATTTCACTGAAAATTTCATTAACATTAGGGTCAAGTTTTTATGTCAGAAAAGAAGCCAGAGGAATATTTAAAATCTAAATTTGATGTGTTTAAAGTATGGAGAGAATATTTTGCCAGTCTAAATTTCCTTGAATATACTTCACATCAGTCCAAAAGATGGGTAATTTAGGTTAGATATTATAGACTAGAGATGGGGTCTTCTGTTAGGAAAAAGCTACAATTAGCGAATTAAACAGTGGCAATTGTCAAATAAAAAGTTGTTAATCCCATTTGGTTCATAAGTGGTTACGAATTTTTACATGGGACAATTGCTATTGACTCATGAGACGCAGAAGGCAGAACCACAGTGACTTGCTGCAATAAAATAGAAGGAAAATCAAAGGAAGGAATCTATCTCTCCTCTTTCTCTTTAGAAAACGAACTAAAAAGTTTTTAGCAAAGAGCAAATTCAAGTAGATTTATTGAAACAGAACAAAGTGAACTAACCTCGTACTCCTTGATGGTATCATATCCAAGAACAACATCACCTATTTTTCCTGGAAAGTATCAAAACAAGATAAGACTGATTTTTTCAAGGAACACAAGAAAACAGGAGACATATACACATCAAGAATGTTGAAACAAAGATCATATTAGTTATTAGATTTGAACCCACAATTTCAAATAAAAAACAAGTCCATAAAAATAGGCTATATCAAATTTGAATCTTAAATCCGCCTCTGGATATTATTTATGTAAAAGACAAACATACCATGCTTATCAGGAAGAAGAACAGAGATGACTCTGGCACCAAAATTAGTGACCTTAACAGTGAAATCTCCTTTCTTGATCTCATAAATCCCTATCTTGTGCCCTCTAACACTAGCGGCAGCACACAGATGAAGAATGAACAAACAGATAAACAGATTAACCTTTGAGGACATAGTCAACTCCAGTGGTTTAATTGGAGACTTAAGTGAGAGTGTCTTTGAATTTACGTTATCCTCTGGCCTTATTAATAGAAAACCTTATAAACTGCATGTGCACAAAAGTGGACTTGACAGCTGCGTGGAAATCGATAATGATTGTGTGTGCAGTCTTGCACTTAGACAGAGAGTCAAATCAAACACATGATTGGTTTTTTGGCACTGGCTCTTGTCCATATTTTTATTAATGTGGTGCTTATGTATTCCTCCGAGGGTCTATTGGAAACAACATTTCTATCGTCACAAGATAGGGGTAAGGTCTGTGTACACACTACCCTCCCAAACCCCACGGTGTGGGATAATACTGGATATGTTATTATTGTTATAGTATTGTTATATTATTGTTATTATTGTTATAGTATAACCGACTGTAAGTGAAATTAATTACCAACTACAAGATGAAAAAATTTTACTTTGTTAGAGTATATATAGGTTAAATTGTTTTTTAAATACCCCGAGGTAGTATGTTTAGCTCTCAATTTGTCCCTCTAACCACACTTTTAAAAAAATCATGTGTATTTCATATTCTAGTCCTTCTAGTCATGGGCGAAGCTATGTTGGGTTAAGGAGGGTCAATTGACCACCTTCGTCGAAAAATTACATTGAATATATAAGTAAAATATTAGTAAGTTTTAGAGGTATATAAAATATATTGAACAACCTTTGTCAGAGAAAATTTTTCTCTTCTTTCAAGTTTGATCACTCTTCGGGAAATTTCTGGCTTCGCCACTGCTTTTAGTGGAGTTCAATGTTCATTCAAGGTATAAACTATCCAAATCCGTTGCAATCTCATAAACATTTTACATGAAGAAATTAAGTATTGTCAAACCGTTCATTTCTTTTAGGGGGTCAAATGACTACATTAATTTAAATTAGGGACCAACAAGTGATCAGCATTGCATGATCCGCTTAGCAAAGACAGATAAGAGTTACATTAATTAAAATTAGGGACCAATAAGTGTTTATTTTTCTCAAAGAACATATAACCCTGACAGAAATATCAATTTATGCAGAAGATGCAAAAGACATCAGCAATGGTGGAAAAGATTAATGTTATAAGCGTTCTAGTATTTCACGAAAGTATACAGCATCTTGTGAACGTATGTCTTTCTCGGAGTCACAATTGTCGATGGGAAATTTGGATGATTGACAGCATCCGGAAATCCTTGAGTCTCCAAACACAAAGCTGCATGAGGCTGATATACATATCCACCTTTCCCCTTCTTAATGAGAGAGTTTGCAGTGTAGAATTGTACACCAGGTGCAGATGCTTGTACAAGCATCACTCTTCCTGACTTCTTATCATATACTATTGCCACGGGCTTCATTTTCTTACTGCTGTCAAGTACATAGTTGATGTCATATCCATTTTGGTGTTTGTTAATCCTGCTCCCAACTTTACGTGGTTTGAGGAAGTCGTATGGCGTGTTCTTGACAGAGGTGATTTCGCCTGTAGGAATGAGATGTTCGTCTACTGGTGTGATGTGTGATGCAAAGATTTGAATAACGTTGGACAAGATATCGCCACTGTTGTGTCCACCAATGTTCCAATAAGTGTGTTGAGCCAAGTTAACAGGGGTGGCCTTGTTCCGATCTTTTGCCTTCATTACCACACTAAGCTTGTAAGGATCTTTCAATGCATAAGTAACAGAAACACGAAGATCGCCAGGAAATCCTACAAAAGAAAGCAATGGATTTGGTTATTTATAGGATTCTTCAACATTGAAAGTTATATTTGCAGTGTGGTATCAGTACTAAACCAAGACTCGCCTTCTTCACCATCAGCACTACGGAAGGTTAAAGTTATGTGAGGATGTGAACCATGTCGTTCATGTTTGCTCACCTTCCAGACAACATGGCTAAATCCTTTAGGGCCGCCTGTATATATCAAATTTTGCATCAGGAAAAGAGAGCAAATTTGTGTAAATGGAAGTAAAAGTTGAAGAGAAAGCAAGTAAAGGGGTACCATGCAATGTGTTATTGCCATTATTAGCGATGAGCTTATAAAGGGTTCCATTCAAAGTAAATTGAGCACCACCAATCCGGTTAGCAACTCTTCCAACTATTGCTCCAAAATAATTTGTATCATTCTGCACAAAGGTACTTTCTATTTGTTTATGAATATGAAGATTTGAAAAATATCAGGAGGCTAATTCCATATTCTCATTCTTGGAAAAAATTTCAAAACTGAACACATTTTATGCCCTTATTAACTTAGAATGTGACATTATTAAGTTCACAATCCTCCATCATGTGTAACCCGACTCGAGAATTCACATGTGAAACTTGTTAAAATGAGCTTTTGAAATGTTGGTTTTGGTATCCTTTGAGATAGTCCATCAGACCTAAATATTGAGTGTGCAAATAAAGTCTCACATTAAAAGCTGATAAGAAAAACTACATATAACGTGTAATGATACTCTTAATGATGCGAGGCATTTTGGAGAAAATCGTGCTTGTTTGGCCGAAAACGGACAATATCAAATCATGTTAAGAGCAAATTCAAATAGATCCATTCAAATGAAACAAAGTGAACTAACCTTGTATTCCTTGATGGTGTCATATCCAAGAACAACATCATCTATTTTTCCTGGAAGGGAGCAAGACAAGATAGGACTGATTTCTCAGAGGAATAGCAGAAAACAAGAACAGATGTTAAAATAGGAACATATTTTCCAAATTATGGGATTGATTAAGGTAAAAGGCAGACGTACCATTCTTATCAGGAACAAGAACAGAGATGATTCTAGCACCATAATTAGTGACTTTAACAGAGAAATCTCCTTTCTTGATCTCATATATCCCTATCTTGCGCCCAGTAACACTACCAACAGCCCACAGATGAAGAATGAACAAACATATCAACAAACTACTAACCTTTGAAGACATAATCAACTCCAGTGTTTTTGAGACTTAGATAGAGTGCCTTATTGATAGCTTGAATATATGCACTCTTCTAATATCCTATGGCCTTATTGTGGAAAAGATTTTTAACTGCATTTGCACAAAATAGAACTCGTCAACCAATAATCTGTGTGGAAATTGGATAAATCCGTAGAAAATCGACAATGATGAGTATTAGTACTAGTTATTATTACATGCAGAAGTAGCCGTTTGTGTTGACTTGTAAACAGAATACCTTCAACTTCAAGATATACAGAACCTCATGGTCGATATGAAGATTTGGATTGCATTACGTAATCTTTCTTGAGCTATGGAAAAAAATTTAGATAATTAATTTAGAAATACTTGAGCAAAAAGAGATTCAAATAGAACACAAGTGAATACTGAAAATAACCTAAATTTTTAAACGACTGTCTTCTTAGCACTTTGCCTTCCTTACTGTGTTTTCTCTTGAATTTTTTTGAACAGTTAAAGAAAATTATTGAAGGAGAAGCAGGATTTAGCTATTTAAGGAGGGAAGTCGTTTCTGAATTTAAGTGTTGTCAGGTTATTATTTAAGGAGAAGCAGTTTCTGATTTTGAATGGCAATTACTTCCTTACCATTAATTGCATTTCTGATAGTTTTATTTTGACTGTTCATTCTCACATAAAAACTGGCTGGCTAGTGCACAATTTCAATCCTTATTGTCGTTACTACTTTTGGCCAACTTCAATGCATATCCATATTAATGAGCTTCATTTTAGCCATATTAACCACCAATTACTTATTAGCAGATTGATAAGTCATGGCAGACTTGTGTTTAAACATGAACAGAATAATGAGAAAAGAACAATAATGTTGTTGGTAAATATGAGTGGAGTCACCATCTATGACCAATTGTGCGAGTAATTGGCACATTTGACAAGATGAGTCACCATCTATGACCATTTGTGCGAGTAATTGGCACATTTGACAGGAATGGATCTACAACACCCCACAGGAATGGATCTGTAATACCCCAAACTTTAGACAAAGACCCATATCGACAACGACAACGGCAAAATACAAGAGATATGCTGGGTATATAAGTTAACAAGCCTTAGATCCTAGTGACGTGTTTTAAACCCGTGAAGACCAAGGCCCAAAGCGGACAATATCACTAGCGGACTGGACTGTTACAGATGGTATCAGAGCAACTCTTGTGTCAACTTTGCCGATAGTGGATCAGAGTCCAACTGAGTTTAAGCAAATCCCCGAGTCCATAAGGGATGTATGTAACACCCCATACCCGCATCGGCAAAATACAAGAGATACTGGGTATATAAGTTAACAAGCCTTAGACTCTAGTAACGCATTTTAAACTCGTGAGGGCCTAAGACCAGAGCGGACAGTATCACTAGCGGGCTGCATTGTTCTACCTTTTAAGTCGTGGAATCTTGGTTTTGCTCTGTATAAGATTGGAATATTTTCCGAGGCAGTATCATACATTGATATGAATAGAAATTGGAGTGTTTATACCCTCTTCTGTGTAGGTTATAACTTATGCAGAGGTAATACTTGTGTCCCATAAGAATCACATTAAATAACAAAGCAAAACTTTACGAGACAGATGACAGCCAAATGTTCTTCTCCGGAGATACTATGTCAAAGCATATGGGGCTAATAGTGCCAATAAAAGAATTGAAAAAAAAAAAGATAAAGAATATATCACAAGAATCCTGTTAAACAAAACAGTCTCCAGGTCTACAACCAACTATACAATCCCTGCAAACAGCCCCAGCAATACTAATAGAAACACGAAATATGCTATGATATCATATCAAACAACAGTTATTTGGAATTTGCAGTTTAAAGTTCTACAGAAAGTAGCGGAAGAACCAATTGATGTCGTCAACACAAGCAGTACTAAAGTTCCTTGAGTAAGCACAATGTTGAACTCATCTCTTCCAACCAGGGTGGAGCACCTTTTCTGAAGAGGGAACCAGAAGGTAATCATTGAGTCAGTGAAGTTTTCAAGTTGATGAAAGTAAATGAGCTTGTAACTATCAATTATGAGATGATCTAAGAGAACAATTTACAAGAAGTTAAAGAGCGCAAGTTAATGAAGGATGCCATTAATGCCAGGCAATTTTACATATGGAAGTGGACCAAACAGTAATAATTGCCATATATCACTAAAGAAAAACAAGTTCTTTGATAAGTTACTTGAGAAAAACAAGTACTACATACATACTTTTCTTTTGAAAAAGTAAGCACATACTTTTCTTGGCTTAATTAAGATCAAATCTGAAAAGTCCCAACTATATTCCTCATTCAGCTTAGATGAAAAAAAAACATTTCAAAGCAACACAAACTAACGAAGACCCGAGAGAGAAAACTCACATCAACCTACGGAAATTTCATTACATACCCCACTATTGGAAACAAAACAACCATCTCAGATAGCAAGAAAATGTGCAAGACCAACTTGTAATTAAAATGTCCCTATTCATTGCTTCTTACCATCTTTAGAGGATGACATTGGTCTGTTCTTGTTTCCACCTTTTCCATTTGCTTGCACTGGCCTTTGCACTCGAGGTGACGATGTGTTGAATTTGCCATTGGTAGAGGAAGGTAGAGAATGACGCCGAACAAAACCATTTTCAGCTCCATCTTCACTTACCTTAGCAGATCCTTGAGCTTTAAGCTTTGCCTTAGCAGATTGAGTGGCAGCCATATAACTAGGCACGTTTGGTGTATTATGTGAAATATTCTCAGAATTCTCCTGCTTAGTGGGAAGAGATTTCCTCCTCCTAGTTCTTTCTTTGGCAGTGTGATCTTCCATCGAGCTAAGCTCCTCGTTGACGACTGGGCTGTTTGCAGTGTTCCCAACATCCTCCAATTGCTGTTGCTCAGTGGTAGGATGATCAAGCAGTTCATTACTTGGTTCATCCACTGCTACAGGTAAAGGAGCCTCAGTTACAGCCAATTTCTCAATTTCAGGAGCTGAATCACCCGTTTTCTCAGAAGAATTAACCACTATTTGTTCAACATCTGGAGCTGAGGATTTTGATGTTTTAGCTTGAGCTTGAGCCTGAGCCAGATTAGGAGTTTGTTGTACCTTCTCACTTTCTGTTTCTGACCTTTCAGAAGGTGTTGCCAAAGCTGCAGAAACTTTTCTTAAATTGCGCTTGACTTTCTCAAGTTCATTTTGAGGCTGATCCGGCACTGGCTCTATGTGAGGATGTGAGAATTTCCTTGGGTTACGTTTAGCTTTTTCTGGTTCAGAGGAACTTACGGCATAAGCATCTCCATTTGCTGATGTAAGAACCTTCTTGACACTTCGTTTTGATCTTACTATTTCTGTTTCAACACTCTGCTTGTTACCCTGTTTCTTCTGCGACTTTGCTTCAACAACTTTCTTTGGTTGTGGAAGGGGTTCCCAAAAGCGAGATAGTGACCATCGTTCAAGCCATTGCCAAGCTGAATTAGGTTCACACGCATCATACTGAAGGCTCAAGGGCATGGCTGTTGGCACTGCCATAAGTAGCTAAAACAAGCAGGAGATTACCATCAAATACAGAATTTTGTTTACATTATAAAAATAATAAGAATTACTTCAGTCCCAAATGGTTGAATTATTAGTATTTGAGTCAAACTGTTTTTAAATGATCTGTTCAAATATTTTGTTTAAAAAAGATTATTATTTTAGTACTTTTCATGCAATTCCCAGATACGTAAATTATATTCCAAAATTACTAAAAAATGTTCGATATCATACTAAAACATTAGATGAGTTGACTCCCGTACTCTAAACACCGCCATTCTTTTTGAGACGGAGGGAATGATTTCTGTTCCAACTTCCTATGCTGATTTTCTGACATTCACATCAACTTTAGGTAGTAAACGGATATCCATTAGATCTTTGTGATACACATACTACAGGTCAGGCTTCGTCATTCAAATCAACATTCTCTCTTCATGATAAGCAACTTCAGCTCTAGCATAGTCACTCTACTGAGGCATTAAAGATGAATTTACTACCACATTTGTTCAACTTTCTCAGAAAAAACTAGCACAAAGGAACAACTTCAGCAAAAGACAAATGCAAAATGTTACAGATCAGATAAGAGTCATTCTGCAGCCACATTGCAGTAAAGGAAACCAATGATGCCGAAAATCTGCAACACTTTTGCACCCTGGATATATAGAATGTTGAACCTGTATCAGAGAAACCAGACTTTCTGACCTTCTAAGATGCATCCCTGCAGTTTTACTAATCTTCCTCACCCCCCTCATTTAACTACACATTGGGGACATTTCCAGGTTCCTCAGTCTTAGATAAAGCTCAATAACTTCCGAGACCCATCTCCTTGTACGTGGTTTTCTCTATTTTGGCACCTCCCTAACCCATCTTCAACCATAAAACCACCCAAAAGTAAAAAGATAAAGCAACATTTTCATTTTCTAACTCAAACCAAATATATTATCAGCCACACAGGTCTTCACCTCGACGCCAACCTAGGGCTAGAAGGGGAAAAAGAAGAAGAAAAGAAACAATACCTAACAGGAAAACCCTGTAATACAACAATAACTTGTCAGTTAACAACCGCACAGGGAGGTCAACAATACCTTGTGTGGAAATGCATTAGCTGTCAGTTTTGAAGGCCTCTGCTCAGGATTCTGGTTAAACAAAGAACACATGGAACAGAGAGTCAACAGCCAAAACAATTTGCACCAACATGAATAAGTTCAAAATAGATACTACAATCCGTCAAAGCTGACAAAATGGGAAAAGAAAAGCAGTAGCAGATACTCGTCATATATTATAATAAAAGTCAAAAAAACATTTGATGTAAGCAAATCCAAAATTTCTTTCTTATTACTCTGCACTTCCTTTTTCGGATCGTCCAATTTTATGTGCACTTCCTCTTTTGGATTTTCCCAAATGTTTGACACACCACCAAAAACTTGAAAATCAATTACATTATTCTTCGCCTTTAATAGTTTGTGCGCATTGATAATTTACATATAGATACAGACTTGATGTTTTTCAATCAAACTATACGAGCTATACTTCTTCCATCACTAAAAAGTTACAGGTTAGTTAAACTCGCTACGAGAATAATATTGAAGTCAAACTAACTCCTCATTTATCCTAGTAAATATCAACTCCAACTCCATCTATCCTCATCTATCCTATGCTTTTATAAGCGGGCAAAAAAAAGGGAACAAGAATACAAGCAAGGAAGGGGAAGAAAAGCATCGTAGATTGTATTGCAAGAGTTACCTTAACTTCTCCAAAACTATACTTTCTAACCAGCTGATTTCCAGAATGTAAGAGTCTAGCACTTTGGCCACGAGCTAATGCCTGAATCCTGACAATTGCCTGCATGCAGCGTAGAGTAGCAACCGCCTGCCTCCTAACCAAGTGCCCACGAATAAGTGCTTGTAGCCTTATGATGCCTTTGAGAGCTCGAAAAGCCCGACGAGCCTGAGAAAAGTTACCAGTGGATAAGGACATAGCGAAAAGAACAATTGAAAGGTGGATCATGCTTTGAAACTAGAAAAGGAAGAAACATCGAAGCTTCTTCAGTTTTTAAGTCCAACTAGTGGGTTTTTACCTAAAGCTATGGTCTGTAAAGAAATTATGCTGGTTTGCAAAAAATGACAATTGACTATTTGACTTAACAGAAAAGGTCCAAATCTAATGCAGAATTAATTTACAGAAGCAGATAATTAGGAACCCTAGTTCCACACAAGCAATGTCTTTGTAGATGATCACATAACTTCTACTGCCTCAATTAAGCAGAAACAAGGGCTCTAAACTCCTACATATTTTAGACATTATGCGCATACACATTCAAACTGTTCCACAATCTAGAGAGACACGATCCATTAGAGTGAATACCTCAAATCTTAGTTCAGAACTGAATATCAAATTAAAATCTTAATAGACCGTACGAAATTTCCTTAGAGATCAAAGTTGTAAATTCTGCTATTAAACAGTACCAAGTAACCCCTAAAGGCTGCTTGTGCTTTGGTGGCAGCATGCTCTAGTCTTTCCAGCTCAGCATTATCTGTGGAAATTTCCCCCTTAACATGCGGATCTGTTTCGTGTGTCACAGAAGATAATGAGGCGGTTTCACATGCAAAGTCAGTGCTTGTCCCCTTTTCCAATCCAGCCTGATCACACTCACCACCGCTATCCAAATTCTGAACAGGTGGATCCAAAGCTGGTGAATTCAGAGCTAGATCCCCCAATGGTGCTTTTGCAGACGATTTTTTCTCACCCGTAACATCCTTCATACAAAACATAGATTAAGATAGCAGATACCTCTAAGTAACTTAATAACATAGAGTAACAAAATTAAAAAGAATCTTCAGCAGCAAAGAGAATTTCGGAGAAAATTTGTAAAATGGCATCAAACTACTTGAGTTAATAAGGAATAATGATGCAAGACATGCAGCTGTGCTGATTTCCAAAATCTACTTAGCATGACATGAGAGTGATGCATTTGCACTGCAACTCTCACTTACACCTAAGTAGGGTGAGAGAGAGAGAGACGGAATTGAACTCATTTTCCTTTGATTGTTAATTAAGAAACAGAAATACCAAATTGCTGAAACCAGATCGAACCAAACACGGAAGTAGTACAATTTTCATAAATTCCCTGTAATGCTGTAGAATTATAACACAATAAGACATATTCTCTTATACCTTAGATAAATGAGACTTGGATGATTTCTTGCCAAAAAGCACAGCCTTGATCCATTTGGCCGGAGATTTCCCCATCGCAAACAGCAAGCTGCTCACCTAAAGTGGATTTCAACTGAATCCTGCATTATTCAATTAAAAAAAAAACAACTTCTCCTTAGAACAAGTAAAACGTGTGCACTAGATCTGAGCTAAAACCACAAGAAAAAAAGCAAATTGATAATTGAAGACATGCAAAATTAAAGAGAAAACAAAATGTAGAGTAGGGTTTAGAGAACAAATGTAGCTCAGATCTGAGAAGTACCTGATGAATTGGAAGCTGTTTTTAAGATCCCAAACTTAGCATAGCTGAATTGAAAGTAAAAATTCCAGAGAGAGTGAGCTAAAGAGAAATAACAGAAATCAGGTGAAAGATAGATTGAGATGAAAGCTAAAAGGAAATAAGAGAATGCAGCTGCTAACAAATGAGCAGGCCCATTAGGCCATAGCCATCCATACCTTATGGAAGATGGACCCCTCCACCGCTTCGCTCTTACTCTCTCTCTCTCTCTCTCTCTCTCTCTCTCTCTCTGGAATTGGATTCTGCGTAGTAGCAGTGAATAGTGATGGAGTGGTACATATACGATTTGAGTACAACTGTATACTGTAGTTGTTATACTGTCGCTTTTGGTAAAGTTGGTGATTTCCTGCTAATCTACTTTTTGAATTTTTTCGTTAAGTCGTACGACGTCGTTTGTGGATAGATTTAGGAAAAAAATCCTTTGCAGATAATTAGGTTTGTATTATGACTCCTTTAGATGCACCTAAACTCATCACGATAATTAATGGGATAATGACACTGTATAGCTGTAAAAATAATAGCCGAAAAATGTATTAAATATGTATACTTTTTGTATATATATATATACATTCTGTATTTTATATATTTTTTCGGCTATCAAATATAAATTGTTTCCGGCACAGGCTAAAAGTGATAATACCCCATAATTAATTAGAGTAGTGTTAAATCACCTAACCAACCAAATCCCGTCAACATTCAACAGTCTCTTCTCTCTTTGTTTTTGATTTATTCCTTTTTCAAAATGAAAGAAAACAAGTCTTCATGTGACATTTCATTAGTTAAGGTATCACATTTTAAACAGTAATGTGATCATTTGAATTTAATACTTTTGTTAATGTTGTCTATTCAGTTTTTTCTACTCACTTCTTATGTGATCTTTTTTCGCACCAAATTTGTTATGGGATTTGAAAGATAAAAAGATGAGGAAAAAAATTCTCATTATATAAGATGAAATGGGAAGAAAACAACAAAAGCAAAAATATTGTTAATATTAGATTCTATTAAGGAATAGGGACTCAACATTCACTTTGTTGCTTTTACTCAATATTGTAAGCATCGACTAATTAAGATACTTACGTGTTCATTTCCACAAATTGATAAATACCAAAAAAGTAGTAATAATAATTTTTTCGCATAGTGGTCCCATTTTATTTCAGTCATATTGGTAATAATGATACTACTATTAATATGTTAGAGATTAGTATAATACTTGACTTTTTTTAGTTCTAAAAATATTAAAGAAGGTAGTCGTTAAGGAATTTAGCTCGCGTTTGGCCATAGATTCTCAAATTTGTTTTGAAAATTTTGATTTGAGTGAAGTTTGGTTAGAAGATAAAAATGTGTTTGGACATAAGTTTTCAAAACATATTTCACTTTTTTTCTTTTTGAATAAAAATGAAACATGACTTATACCCACATATTCTAAATACTATCACAAATACCGAACAGAACCTTTATCAATAACATTCATTATATTATCGCAAACCATAGTCCTGAACATAAATAAATTTGGTACAAAATTATTATTTTTATAATGAACTACATAATACAGTATCAGATGGCCGAGAAGATGAAGCAGCATTGTTACAAAATAATAAATGGTGAGCTATTTTATAAAATACAAAAGTATGGGAGGAATTTTTAAAAAATATAATAGTGATATTTTGGGCCAAAATCAGCTCTTGAGCTGGTTTTGGGATTTGGGTTTTGGGAATTTGCCAAAATGTAGATAAAATATATGGCCAAACATGTATTTGCCAAAAAAATCGAAATGTATTTTGGCAAAATCTATAGCCAAACGGGTCCTTAGTTTATGTGTATGATCTTTGTTTCTTTTGCTTTAGTTTTTTTTATTATCTTGTTGTCTTTCCAAAGCTTCTTCATTATTATATTTCCTCTGATTTTACTTTTCTTGAGCCGAAAGTCTATTCAAAATAGTCTCTCCAATTTCACAATGTAGGGATAAGATCTACGTATATACTATCCTCCCCAGATCTTATTTGTGGGATTACACTAGGGTTGCTATTGTTGTTGTGTGTATGATTCTCTAGACAGACACTTTGTCTTTTGATTCCAAATTTCCAGATACTTAGGGTCTAATGAGAGCGATATAATAAGCTGTAGGAAGAAACCTCCAACTAAAGGAAAAATTGTGAATAAATGCTGCATAGACAACGCATCTCTATCCAAGTAACCATCAATAAGCACCTTTGTAATGATTTAAAGCTGCGGTCCCTTTTTTTTTTTTTGGTTCATTAGGTACACCAAACAAACTGACTCTTCTCATTATTCCTCAACTTATCTATAGGGCCATGTGCTTTCTTTTTTACTTGCCAACCGAAGGGCAAATTCATCTTACATTTCCCAATTTTCTTGTACTACAAATGGATTGCTGCAAAAATCTTTAAACTACCGTTAGTAACAAACATAATCCTTTCTACATCCCTGTCAAAAATTCAAATACATATTATGTACATTGGTTGTCTCCTTTTTATTTTTTCCTTCTTTCTTTGTACAAGCAAATAAGAGAAAGGAACTTCCTGTCTGAACAACAGTAAATTCTTTGTTGCTATTTACCATCATGATACTTCAGTGAATCGAGACTGATTGTAACATCTAATGACACAACAGGTTAAAGGTAAGAGTTACTTGTTCGATTGAGCAGGTGTCGCTCGTCAACAATGATACATTAGAGACCTACGTAGTGCAGCACGGGAGATTCAGTTGTAATAGCATGTTATATTACCACTAAGTGGTGGTGGAAATAAAAGGTCATTCCCTCTTAATCAAAAGTTTCTGTTTCGAATCTTGAGAATAAAGTCCAGTCCTTTTGATAGAGAGCCTTAATACCGTAATAAGCTTTCTATGACACGAATTGGAATTAGTTGAACCAATAGATTTCAAACATCAAAAGGTTAAACTAAAAAAAAACGTATCGTATTTTTTCCGCTCAACATACAATATAGACGACGTGTATAGCAATGAATATAGTAGAGGTCCCTATGTTTACAAGGCGAGGAGTATATGCCAATGAATCCACCGACAATGGTAGATCCTTGTGATTTGCCAAGCTTAGCTTAACAAGTGTAATAACACACTTACCAAGTATGCATCCAAGGGGTAAAAGTTATTTTTTCTGCATCATCCCACTGCGCGTTTTCCTTGTGACTAACATCACGAGAGAAATCTCAGTCTCAATCGTAGAGCAATGGAATATATTATAGAGTTCCATTTGCTATGTAAAATGTGATGATGTCCAATCTCATTAAGAAGTATTAGGCATGTGCCTAATAAAAGTTTCTTTGATTTGGTAGCCAACCTTGTTGACTTGGTTTGGTTAGGTAGCCAACTTTGTTAAATTAGTTTGGTTTGGTAGCTAACCTTGTTGAATTTCTTTGGTTTGGTAGCCAACTTTGTTGAATTGTGAAAAGTGTGTGTAAATTGTCAAATATTGTAGGCTTTAGAGGGTGAAGCTTTGGCTATAAAAGGAGAGCTTCAACTCTCATTTCTTCACACCAACAAAGAGAGAAAGAAAGAGTGGGGTTTCACAGACAGGGTATAAGAAAATAGTCTGTGAGGAAAATAGAGAGTGAGCGATATTATATTGAGGTAGAAATATCAAAAGAGGGTTATTTCTTTTGAGTGTTGCAGTGGTCTTTGGAGTATTTTACTCGGATCTACAAAGTGTAAAATTCCTTACTATAGTGATATCAGTTACTCCTCTCGGGGCCGTGGTTTTTTCCCTTATTAAAAGGGTTTTCCATGTAAAAATTTTGGTGTCGTTGTTACTCTTTTATTCTTGTTAATTACTGTATCTCGATGCTATATTATTATTCTGCTTTTATTACCGTGAATATTATTTCTGTGGAGGTTTATTCCCAACAACTGGTATCAGAGCACAGGTTCTGCATTCACTGAAATACTATTCACTATTGGTAGTACTATACTCGGTAAAAAATAAAAAAATATCCCGAGTAAAGTACGAGGTAGCAAAATTCAACGGAGATAACGGTTTCTCAACATGGCAAAGAAGGATGAGGGATCTGCTCATCCAACAAGGATTACACAAGGTACTAGATGCTGATGCCAAAAAGCCTGATACCATGAAAGCTGAGGAATGGGTTGACTTGGATGAAAGAGCTGTTAGTGCAATCAGGTTGCACTTATCAGATGATGTGGTAAATAACATCATTGATGAAGACACTGCACGTGGAATTTGGACAAGGTTGGAAAGCCTATACATGTCCAAAACGCTGACAAATAAATTGTACCTGAAGAAGCAGTTATACGCCCTACACATGAGTGAAGGTACGAATTTTTTGTCACATTTAAATGTGTTTAACGGACTAATCACACAGCTTGCCAACCTCGGAGTGAAAATCGAGGAAGAAAATAAAGGCATCTTGCTATTGAACTCGTTGCCATCTTCGTACGATAATTTGGCAACAACCATCCTGCATGGTAAGACTACTATTGAGTTGAAAGATGTCACATCGGCTCTATTACTCAATGAGAAGATGAGAAAGAAGCCTGAAAATCAAGGACATACTCTCATCACATAAGGTAGAGGCAGGAGTTATCAAAGGAGTTCGAACAACTATGGTAGATTCGGAGCTCATGGGAAGTCAAAGAACCGATCCAAATCAAGAGCCAGAAATTGCTACAATTGTGATCAACCAGGTCACTTCAAAAGAGATTGCCTAAATCCAAAGAAGGGCAAACNTGTGCGGCATGTACCTGATTTGCGGATGAACTTGATCTCGGGAATTGCTTTAGACCAAGATGGATACGATAGCTATTTTGCAAATCAAAAGTGGAGACTCACTAAAGGATCATTGGTGATTGCAAAGGGAGTTGCTCATGGCACGTTGTATAGGACAAATGCAGAAATATGCCAAGGTGAATTGAACGCGGCACAAGATGAGATTTCTGCAGATTTGTGGCACAAAAGAATGGGTCATATGAGCGAGAAGGGATTGCAGATTCTTGCCAAGAAATCACTTATTTCTTATGCCAAAGGTACAATGGTAAAACCTTGTGACTACTATTTATTTGGTAAGCAACATAGAGTCTCATTTCAGACATCGCCTGAAAGAAAATTGAATATACTTGATTTAGTATATTCTGATGTTTGTGGACCAATGGAAATTGAATCAATGGGCGGTAACAAATATTTTGTTACTTTTATTGATGATGCTTCACGAAAATTATGGGTTTATATTTTGAAAACCAAAGATCAGGTGTTGCAAGTTTTCCAGAAGTTTCA